AGAGAGAGAGAGAGAGAGAGAGAGAGAGAGAGAGAGAGAGAGAGAGAGAGAGAGAGAGAGAGAGATACCAACTCATCGTTTTGCTGGCCGCCATAGCCGAGTTCTTGAAGAGCCTTTCTATAATATCATTTCGAGTCGTAATCAAGTTTTGTGAGTTTGCATATCATGTGGATCTTGCTGTTGCATTTCCAATATTGATCCGGATTGGTCCGGATCACTTGAATTCTTATTTAATTATTGAATATAGCGACGCGTGTATTCTGCAGTTTGGATGGTCAGGTCAATTGCTTCCATTAATTGTTGGATATTGCATCATGCAATAACCCATGACGTATGCCTCGTGGAATGTCCAAGGGCCTCGCCAGGCCACCACTCAGACCCAGGCCACAAGGGAGAAAAGACCCTAAGAAAATTCAGGGCCTGAGCGGGCGACAGTTGACCGAAGTCAACTGCCTGACGCCCAACAGTCAAAGCCAAAGTGGACCCAGCCCAGGCCGCTGGTCAGACGCACACACTTGTTTGTATGCAGGTACCCAGACAGCATCAGGACCAAGGGGAAGTCTGCAACTGTGTACAATCCAGGCCTCGACTGTGAGTCAATCTGTATGACTGTGAGAAGGAGACCTGAGGCCAGACAGCCTCGTCAAACACTACATAAGGCTTGGTCTCCAGGAGGTCAACATTCAGTCTTGCTATGCTGCCTCGACGCTGGCTTGACTTTAGCTGGTTGCTGGCTTGATGCTGGCTCGATGCTGGCTGGACGCTGGCTTGACGCTGGCTGTGCGCTGGTACTGTGGACGACAACGTGGGACTGTGGCAGGATGCTGGCACCTTCTCTGCTGAGCGCCAGCCTCTGCTGACGTGGCGCATGCCACCTGTCTACATTGCTGATGTGGTGCAGGCCATCTGTCTTCATTGCTGATGTGGCGCATGCCACCTGTCTACATTGCTGATGTGGCGCAGACCATCTGTCTACATTGCTGATGTGGCACAGGCCATCTGTCTCTGCTGCTGACGTGGCACTGCCCACGCTGTCTACATGAGGTGACTGGTTGCGACAAGGAGGGAGATCGGAATCTGTGGATGATTGGAAAGTGGTACTCACCTGAGGTTGACGTTGATACCGTACACTGTTGTGTGTCTTCATTGTCTCTACGAGATGACAGTGCCACATGGCACTCCTATGTGATCAGGACTTGTCAGACTTGTTACTGGACATTGATTGATGATGTGGAGGTGAGGGGAAGCCCGGAGAAGAAGTGGGTAGTGATTGGACTACTCTTTTGTGGTCACTGATTATCTCTTCCACCCTCTCATCTGTCTAACGAGACAGTCTATTTGGTAACGAGACATTGTATCAGGTATCACTTTCACGAGTATTGGAGACATTGTGCAGATCTGAGTCTACTTGTACTTGGGCGTCTGAAGAGTATCTTCCAGTCTGGGTTCATTACAATTTGGTATCGGAGCATACCTCCTTCATCGCGATCTGCTGTCAGGTGCTGATGTGGCACCCAGGTAAGTGGGAGGTGCCACACGTGCAGGAACGGAACGTTTTTATTAAATTTTAAGTCAATTTTGTGGGGGGATACCTTCCTCAGGCTTTTTTGGGCAAGGACAGAAATAAATAAATAAATAGAACTCACCATTCCACCCATTGCATGAACACCCCGTTTATGACACGTCTGGATAAGTAATTCCGTATAGCTCTTAAGGAAGTGCTGAGTCATCCCCACTTGGCCTCTATCGGGTACAATGCGTTGTGGGTGTCCCTTGAACGTTTTTATGAAACTGAAGATGTAATCCCAGCGTCCACAGTTCAGCCCTGCCGAGTGATCGCGCAGCTCATAAAGAATCTCATTCATCTGCAAAACACAAACAGACACCAAGAAATGAAAAAAGACAAAGGCAGGGAGAAAGAGAAGAACACAAAAGGACAAACACACAACAAAAAGATTGACACTTAATAATAGAACGAAGTTAACACTCCTACATTCATTGTTGATGATGACTACAACAACACTGCGGCCCTAAACTTTGTCGTGAGCGGTAGGTTTACCAGCTGTCATACATTGATAACGATAACTTCGACAACACTGTGGCCATAAAACCTGTGGTGACTGTGTAGTCAGCGGTGGGTTTACAGGTTGTGAATAAAATAAAATAAAATCAGAAGCATCTCTAGTTAAGAGGGAAGGTGCTATACCTTTCTTCGCCTTTAGGCTAAGAGCCGCTAACTTAAAAGGTCAAGCGTAGTAATTGTACTGTTTTGATCAGCTTCAAGTTAATGTCTACTATCTGGTCCATTGGGTCACACACACACAATTTGTGACACAAACATTGTTACGAAAAAAAAAATCATACAATTTCAATTTGTGACACCAAAACATTGTTAGGGAAAAAACAATCATTTACTTTCCGAGACATATCTGACTGCAATTGCGGCAGAATCTGGTTGTATCTGACCGCAAAAATGTCCAGAGCTGAGTTGAAGAAGTCCTGGATAAATTAATGTCTAATCTCTGGCCCATTGGGTCACACCCACACAATTTGTGACACAAACATTATTCGGGAAAAAAAATCATTTACTTTCCTAGATGTATCTGACTGCAATTGCACCAGACTCTGGTTGTATCTGACCGCAAAAATGTCCAGAGCTGAGTTGAAGAAGTCCTACATTGAGTACGCCCCTAGCCAGAACTTCAACATGTTAATCGCTCAGAAATCTTCGCTGCTATCCAAAGACAATTGACATTCATCGCACAGGCAAATCCCTGCATGCCGCCATCAGGATATACCCAGATGTCAGTATGCCTCACTGTGCATATTCGGCTGCTTCCTGAGGAGGGCATTTAGGGGATTGACTTACAGTTGGTCGCCTATGTTGTACCCTCCTGACCATAAGTAGAACCCACCACGAGGGCTGGTAGGCTCCAGGGGATTAGGATCGCACCCAGGGCTGCGGGAAGGTCTACGGCCTTCACACTTGGTCCAATAGAACACAACCAAAGATCCCTCTTGTACATGAAGCAGGGCAGTTTCCTGAACCTTCTCAAGTTCAACGCACCTGGTCTGATCACATACTAAGCCGTCTGAGTCTGAGTCTGTTTTACTGTGTTCCCTGTGAATGCCTGCCCATGTTTGGAATTCCTGAATGTGCTTGCATATCACTAAGTCAGTTACTGTGGACTTGGTAGACTACAATGAATGTGGGTTTGAAAGTCAGCATACCTGTAAAATGCCCGGCCTGAAGTGATGGATTGATAAGTTGGCAGAAACAGGACACCTGCAGTACGTAATCTTTCATGAGGGAGAGGAAAAAGTAGGGGACGCAGTGGGAATTTTCCAGCACTTGCTCCAGGCCCTGTCCTAGGTACAGTCTGGAAAGTCCAGAGGCAGCATGGACCCTGCGAGCAGGCCCTCTGGACCTCTGTTTAGGCTGTATGCATCCAGTCAAGGCCCAGCCTCCACACAACTTGAACCACCAGCACACCCGAGCTCCTATCGCCCAGCAATTGATTCTGCCCGCCACCCTGATTAATAAATCACCACCGACTCACAGGTCCAGACTTTTCCAGATGACGAATCTTGCTCGAACTTATCATCCGGAATCTACCCCTCAATGTCCCTGAGCCATCCGAAACAGCGTGTGTGTCTGAAGGTGTGCACACGGCCCACCCCTATGCCGCGAGTCCTGCTGAGCCGGCCAGCCCTGCACCGTATTTATCCTCGCGGGCAATGAGCCTTACACCGACCGATTGGCTGATCAGGAGGCGTTTTTATGGACGGCCCCCGAAGTCCTCAGGAATTATTTAACGTCGCAGACAGGACGACGATCACAGCCAATGGAAGGTCCCCGCCGCTGTTTATTTATAGACGCACGGTACTCGTCTTTCCCGTAGGGCTGGCCTGCCCCTCAGAACCCCTCTATAGTGCAGCGATCAGACAAAGGACAAAGCAGCAAAGCATGCATGCTCTACTCCCGGTGGGTTGGCATGGTGACCGTGACCCAGTGCTTCGTCCAGGGCCCTTCAGATAGCACCGCCCACTCCTTCTCGATGCTCCACGTGAAGACTGACGACTCTCAAGGTTGAACGCACTCGACTACTCACATGAGAGGACTCTCAAGACAGAACACACATCCTCACGGTAAGAAGTATCGAAGAGGGTAGATAAGGTTAGGTGCAACGTACCTCAAAATAGCTGCCCAGCCACCATAGCTGGTGGGCGTGGACTACAGTGAGGCGCATGAGTGGTCTTCGGGTGCAAGGGAGGAAGACGTGGGTGTCAAGTCAGGGAAGGGTGAAGGATGATGATGATGATGATGATGTGAGGGCACATACCTTGTATTGGCGATGGTCTGCATTGAGCGACATCTTCAAGTACTTCGGGTTGCCGCTGATGTCAACAGTTGCATTGTCAATTAGTAGGCTGATAATAGTTGTGTAGGAGTAGGTTGGGCGCTGAGCACCAAGTAGGAGAGTGAAGGGACTGGACTCGTGTTGGTGTGGAGAGAGAAAGCTCTCTGTGACATTGGGTTTCAGTACTACGAACCTCCATTGGTGTATTATTGGCGCAATGCTGCTCTCTGGACACGGTGTGACTATCTAGCTTTCAATGTGATTGTGTAATCTGGATTCAACATCTCGCTGTTGCTCATTTTCCTTGCATATATGGATGGTTTCTTGGTGCATTGTGTACTCTCTGCTTGGATACGACTACCTGGACAGCTGTGTGATTTCCCAACTTGGTTTTCTGTATATTGTTCACACTCATATTCCTTGCAAAAGTAATAAAAATACATAATACAATAGGGGAGGTAGTTTGTCTCTAATTTAAGGGTCCTTACGACTATAATTTGAGCAGATACGAAAATTGATTCTTTCAACATCTTCATTTCTAGAAACTGCATAGTAGTAGTAGTGGCATAGTAGTAGCGGTAGTAGTACTAGTAGTTAGAGTGGCCTTGCGGTCACTATCTGTTGAGATCCAGCCTCGTTTCCTTTTTTTTCACTTTTTCACACCAAACCCACACAGCCCCTTCTATTCTGGAGCGTACCAGTCCAGTTGCTTGTCACCGGCAAGCATAGTACAAACAGGAAGTAATCGTAACCTGAGTTGGGCGTAATCAACCAAGGCGTGACCCCGCCCCAGTGGCGAGCGGCTGGGAGACTCCCATTGGTACCCAGTCACCGCTTCCCCTATAGCGGCCCCCTACCCAGGTATCCGTCCTCCATTATATACAACCCCTACTCCCCCATTACCCTTCTCCTCCTTACCCCTCCCCTTCCCCCCTCCCTCTATCCCACCTACCTACACACCTTTCCAGAATACATGTCCTTATTAAGCAACTTGTATATTCAGCATGATATTAAAAGCGCCTCGTCCTGCGAGAGCCATCACATCGCCTGTTCCACATTTGGTAACTGCGGTTGTGGGTTTTAAATTTTCAGGCATTCCCACGTACAGGTATAGTGTGTGTAGCACCAATCAAAGTGTCTGCACGAGGCACATCAGTGTATATAAGCATCTTTTGTATATTTGGATTGTGTACATAGTACTACATAGTACATATACTATATATAGTATTGCAATGTATATAAGCATCTTTTGTATATTTGGATTGTGTACATAGTACTACATAGTACATATACTATATATAGTATTGCAATCAGACTCGCTTTCTTCTTTGCTTCACATACATGCAAACAGATGGCGATTCACACTAGCGCACAACGCCCACTCAAAACTCAGAGATATGGAAATCGAGAACTCGGTCGGATGCAAACTTGCTTCCACAGGCTATGGCGCAGAAGCGCCAGCACATCCAACCCTCGATACTGTTCCCAACACCATTGTTCACACTCACTTAGCTCTGGATCACCCTGAATACCCCACACACATTCCTCTTTGACATACACACACACACACTATTGCCTAACTACCTACTACAACAGCTATGGACGCTCTACTAACACTAACTATGGCTACGTAGTCTCACTTCGACTTCGGGCAACATGCAGGCCACCTCGCACAAGACGCTGTAGCAGCGCTTCCGCATGGCTTACGCAGCGAATGAATGAATGGCTGGGCGTTGCCTCTTGATTTATACTTCTGTAACTCGTTGGTTTGCCCCTTTCCCATGCCCTTGGTGCTCACAGTCCCACACGGTACTTGCTTGACTGGACTATGATTGACTGGGACCGGTACCGCTGACTGCATGGGTTTGCACTGCCAACTCCATGCAGTCGCACTGCCGACATAACGCAGCTGGGCTCACCACTTGCCCACTTGCCTCTGTCTAAACATGAGCCAACTTCGAAAGGCCACTTCCGGACCTTCCGGAAGTTTGTGGTCTTGGCCTTTCGAACACTGTAGCGGCTACGACCTTGACCCTTCAGGACTGTAGCAGCTACGACCTTGACCTCTCAGAACACCTACAGCTGCGACTTCTACAAGGCTGTGACCCCTACTCATCAGATCTACAGATCGAACCCCTACAGCTACACAGACTTACGACAGACATCAAACAAGACAGTTACAGGGGCAAGTGCAACGCCGGAGTCGACCTGTGTAGTCGACCTGTGCCAACAAACAGCACATGGTAGTCAATGACTACCTCAAAGACATTGAGTGTCTTTTCCCGTACGCGAGAGGGGAACTAAGACATCGCGTCTCATTCCTAGTCAGCGACGATCTCCCAATGGACATCCTGTTGGGTATGTACTATCTTTCGGTTGCACAGCCCCAGTTTGACTGGGACCAAAAAGTGGTCAAGCACATTTTGCCAGGTGGGGGACCGCCAGATTACGTAAGTTTAAGGCTAGTAGTTTGATCGAGTCCTACGGATGCATGTGTGCGGCCG